GGGAAGATATGGAGGCAGTGACAGATTTTATCTTCCTGGGCTCCATGATCACTGCAGATGGAGACAGCAGCCCTGAAATTAAAAGGCGCCTTCTTCTTGGGAGGAAAGCGATGACAAATCTTGACAGCATCTTAAAAAGCAGAGACATCACCTTGCCAACAAAAGTCTGAATAGTCAAAGCTATGGCTTTTCCTGTTGTGATGTATGGAAGTGAGAGCTGGACCATAAAGAAAGCAGACCGCCGAAGAATTGATGCCTTTGAATTGTGGTGCTGGAGGAGGCTCTTGAGAGCCCCCTGGACTGCAAGGAGAACAAACCTATCAATTCTAAAGGAAATCAACCCTGAGTGCTCACTGGAAGGACAGATCCTGAAGCTGAGGTTCCAGTACTTTGGCCATCTTATGAGAAGAGAAGACTCCTTGGAAAAAACCTTGATGTTAGGAAAGTGTGACGGCAAGAGGAGAAGGGGACGACATAGGATGAGATGGCTGGACAGTGTCTGCGAAGTAACCAACATGAATTTGACACAAATTTGCAGTGGAAGATAGGAGGGCCTGGTGTGCTCTGGTCCATGGGGTCACGAAGAGTCGGACACAACTAAACGACGACGACATTTTGTGTTCTCCTTCACCTCTGTTTTCCCCCCATATCCCCATTACCTTTTGTACCCCTTACCTTATCCCAAGTTGTTAATTTTAAAAAAAGTTCAACTGTAATCTTGCTTTTGGATTTTCTTCTTTCACCTCCATAAGGAGTCATTTTGAGTGAGCAGCAGCAGCAACAGATTATTATAGCTGATCATTAAAGGTGAGATGAATGGAAAAAGAAATGTAGAAAGGAGAAGCATGTACTAGCTGAGAAATTTGGAAATTGATTTGGATGCAACCATCATTTTGAAGAGCTTCCATGCCCTTGGTTTGAGTGACCATGATGGTGCCCGATCCCTCATAGGTTAGGAGGAAGAGGGAGTGATTATCTAGAACCAGTTTGGGGCTGCCCATTATACCCTCTGCAGATCTGCCCTGTAGAAATACTAGTTTGCTTATATCTAGATAAAAATAACATGACAGACCTTGTAGGAATGGTGTGCGTGTGTACTGCCGACTACCACTAGGGTGTGATACCCTACTTGGACACAAGTAGGGTATTTCCTCCTACTCTTACTACAGACCACCCCTGTTAAAAGGACATTTTAAATTTCCAGTGCACTCTCATTTAAAGCATTTAATTAAGTAGAACTGACCATGAAAAATTCTACTTTTCAGGATAATGAACCAGGCTAAAAAAAATTAAAATTGAAAAATCAACAAGCCTTCATGATTACATTTCAGCACTCACCTTGCTGTGATGACACTGGTCTATAACATGTACTAGTCAAATAATATACATTCTGACTATTTAGAAATGCTCTCCATTGCTGCGAATTTGATAGAAGAGAATCACATAATAGTCTAAATGCTGGCATGTGAATGTTCATGTATTGGCATTCTTTCCACATCATTTCGGTAATCCAGTGTGGCGGAGTTTTCATAAATTCACTTGAACCTAATAAAATTATAACTTTATGAGTTCAATTAGATTTGATTTTTAGATTTTCACATAATGAACAAATATAGTCATTTTTTGTTTGATCAGTAAGGTAAAGGTAAAGGTTCCCCATGACAATTTTTGTCCAGTTGTGTTCGACTCTAGGGGGCGGTCCTCATCCCCGTTTCCAAGCCATAGAGCCAGCGTTTTGTCCGAAGACAATCTTCCGTAGTCACATGGCCAGTGCGACTTAGACACGGAACACTGTTACCTTCCCACCGAGGTGGTCCCTATTTATCTACTTGCATTTGCATGCTTTCGAACCGCTAGGTTGGCGGGAGCTGGGACAAAGCAACAGGAGCTCACTCTGTCGCGTGGATTCGATCTTACAACTGCTTGGTCTTCTGACCCTGCAGCACAGGCTTCTGCGGTTTAGCCCGCAGCGCCACCACGTCCCTTTGTTTGATCAGTAGCCAAAGGATTTAGGGATTTCTCCCTACCTGTCAGTTTTGGCTCCTACAGTATATAAGCATATTCCAGAAATACTATTTCCAGTTTGAATTTTTATCCAAAAGCATTTTTATAGGGAAAAATCAAGTATATATTAGATTCAGAATTTAAACCAGACAGTGCCTTAGAACACTGGTTCTTAACCTTGGGTTACTCAGGAGTTTTGGACTGTAACTCCCAGAAGCCTTCACCACCAGCTGTGCTGACTGGGGTTTCTGGGAGTTGCAGTTCAAAAGCATCTGAGTAACAAAGGTTAAGAACCACTGCCTTAGAAGACTAACTAATTCTTCTTTATTCTTTATATGGGCCAAAGTTATTTCTGACAATTTAAATGCTCATGGAATACAATCTTAAACACACTTTGTAAGTAGAGATAAGCCCTGCTGGACACAATGGTAAAAATCTTCTTGCATAGTTATGTCAGTATAACACAGATAGTTAACTTTTGGACACAAATTGTTGGAAATGTTATCTGTTGTGTGTTGAGTCATGTTATGTAATTATGCAAGAAAACTTTGGCCAGTGAAATTTACTTCTGAGTAAATATGCACAGCATATATGCACTTCAATTTACAGTGATTTCTTGATAAATATGTTCTATGGTCTGAGTAATTTTTTAAACTAAAAGTGTTGCAATTACAGTATCCTGTTAACAGAAATACTTTGATGGTATTTATTACATCTTCCAATCTTCCAATCTGAAAAAAGCAGTATGTCTATTCCTTGCAGCGTTTTTCTTACAATATAAAACAGGATTATTCTGGGATACTTATCAGAATATTGTTTTGAATATTGAAGTGGAATATCCATTAATATGTATTTAATTGATACAATATTAAAAGTTAAAACAATGTATTTTTTAAAAATCAGATTGATATCTATTCTCATTTGTACTGTAAAATTGAGTAATTGCAATAAGACATCCATAAATAAACTCTGAAATACATCAATTAAAATACCACATTTATGTATTGTGAGATTTCCTGCAATAAATTATACTCTTATTTGTATACATTACACTTGTGTACATTCATCTGAATAACAACATACTTTGACCTATATCTTTATTTACTGAGAATGTTTTTCTCTTTTTACCAGTTTTCCCTGAGTATTGTGTGTCCATAATATTTGCCATCATGCTAGCATGCAGGAAGAAGTTCCATTGATTCTCTTGTATAATTCCAAGGTTATTAGTAATTTCAGTTTCATTGCAATTGTTTCTCATTATTGCTGTGCACATAAGAAAAGAAAAGCATACTTGATTTTCACTGAAGAGAGCTACAGAAACTGTCTGTAAGATAAGAAATTAAAATTCACAATACTTTACAAATATATTATAAAAATTGCTTAGTCTAAAAATAATTTGGGAATAGATTCAGATTCAAATACCTTATGAACATTACTCGTTAACTTCTCAATTACATCATTAACATGACTTTTGAAGCTGTCTGCCTCACACTCAGGTTCTTCCAAGTCTTCTGTGGTAGAAAGTCTACTTTGCTTCCTAGGAATTCTCGTTCTAGAACTACTTGAAACACTCAGAGAAAGATCACTTTTTTGTTCGTTGATATCATCCACAGAGTCTGCAAAGATCTTATGAAACCACTGCAGGGAAAACTGATACATATAATTGATGTGAACAAGATCTGCCACTACAAAGTAGAGCACAGCACCACGAGTGGCAATAGGAAGATAGTTTTTACGCAATGCTTCTGTTGTAGCTTCTGTTGCTGCTGAGGCTTCAACACGTTCAAAAATCTCTGTTGAGGTGATTTTTGTTCTTTGTAAATTGTCAATGAGGACTTGGTCATCTAGAAGGTGTCCTAAAATTTAAAGATCTATTTCATTTGTGACATAAAATAAATAAATCAAATAAGCATCATATTAACCAAATATCTGTATTTACAGAAAATTCTTCAGTCACCTTATCAGTATAGTTGCATGTGAATCCTACAAAAGAAATCTGTGACATGATATTACTGTGTTCTGCCTTTCCTTTCCATTGACTTAAATTCATTAATTTTTATTTGCAGAAGCAAGAAAACACCTCTTACCTAGTTTACTGGCACAATACAAATGGTTTAACTTTGGAGGCAAATCGTTTCAAATTCAGATATCACCACAGACATTATTAGTTTCTTACTGAGTCATGTGACTCAACATGCAACTGATAATATCGATGCTGATTTCTTAAGTTAGGGAAATTTGCCTCCAAAAGCTGCACCATTTGCATAACTACACAAAAGGATTTGTGCCATTAAATATTATGACTTTATGTCACACCAATTTTTTACTAGATCTAACTGGAGAAGAAATAAATAAGAAACATGGATCAGCAGTAGAGATGGGTACAGACTTTGTTTTGGAGGTTTCCTTTCTCTGTCTCCCAGGCTGGATTCCCCACACTCCAACTGGTGCATGCTCCTTTCCTTCTCCTCTTTGGCTGTTCAGCCAGTCTCTTGCAGGAACACAGGCTTCCCTGCCCTGTTTCCTTGACTAATTGTATATAATTGGATATAAATGCAATTAATTAATTAATTAATCAATCAATCAATCAATCAATCAATCAATCAATCAGTTAATTAGTACATGGAAGCAGAATAGGCAAATCCATACTCCGGCTGGAGACTGACAGAACAACTGAAGAGGAGGAGAGGAGCGTACATCAGCTGAAGAGTGGGTAACTGACTGGGGAGATGGGGGAAAGGAACGTGGCATGAACCTCTGAACTGAGGTTTGTGATGCTGTCTAATCAGCAGTGACCACAACTTTTAAAGTCAAATAAAGAAGTGCAGAAAGTCTATCCATTTTATTACAGTAGCATGAGAGTAGATACATACAAACACAAAGTGGTAGATACACTAAATACTTTTTGTTTTGTGGAATTATTGAGCAAATATATGATCTTAACTTGCTGTCAAAAAGATGTAAACTATGACACCATATGAAACTCTATGGAGATGCCAAAACAGAAAATACACTATCTTAGTCACAATCTACTCTATATTAGTAGGAATGGGTACTTGACAGAAGGCCTTTGAAGGTGATTGTAGTGGTCAGGTGGGTTAATGGCTGAACAGGGGGTTTAGACCCATTTCCACCATTTAGATTTAAATGCTCTAAGCACCTGTATAATATAACCAAAAGATTATAATGCAAATGAGTAAATATTATTCAGTTCATATTATGTAAAGAACAAATAATTCCTTTCCTCTCAATCTTATTTAGTGAAAAATATTTTGCCTTGTTCAAAAAAGATGGCTCATATTTAGGGATCTCTGCAAATCTTTTATATACCATTGGTTTTCTGTAGAAGTCTAAGTGATTTTTGTTCAAGTTCACGTAGTGTTATGAGATCTTTAGATATGCTTTCCAGCAGTTCACAACGCTTTTGTTCAAGCTCAGGTTTCTCCTTAATTACAACAGCAGACAGAAGCTGATCTTGCAACCCTTGGAAGGTTACAGTGAAATTTATCATTGTCACAGTATTGCATATTGCTGGCAGAAAATGGGGGTTGGCTTGCTGTGTTGTCAAGTATAATCTGAAACAACAAACATCTATATTCATGATAAAGATCTCAGCATCCATTACTTATCTGAATATTAACTTCTAACTGTAGCTTACCCAGTATATACACAACACAAATAAATGAAAAAAAGATAATGACTAACTAGATCTAGTTGTTAGATTCACAACTGGAATAGGACCATTGAATCAATGAAATTTGTTCAAATGTTAGTCTACCAATATTTCTTTCAAATAATCTAATCTAGTTGGTCTAATAACTGGATTCATACAACTACCTTTTTACATGTAAGCTGCAAGTGATTTCTCATAAAAGACTGGTCTATTGTCCTGCAAAATTAATAATTCTGCTCCAATACAAAAACAGATAGATTAACATATTTTTTTTACAAACATTAGTAACAGTGTGCATGTTTTTACAAACAAGCAGCAGTCACATATCTCCAAGTCTCTACCCCAATCAGTGTCCCTTCATCTGCTATTTAGTTTTAACAATTCATATTCATTGCAAAAGGCATGAACTTCATAATGGGTTATTTGATAATAAGGTAGGGTTGTAAATTGTAACAAATTAGTCACTATGCACTGAATGAGAAGGCACAAATATCTTTTTGCTAGGAGTCTGAGAATCCTTGACAGGTCACCTCAATGTGATGAGATAGCAGCTGAAGTCCTGTTGTTTAGCGAAATAAGTCACAACTAGAATAGACCCATTGAATCAATGCAACTTATGGAGCAACTCACTAAATCTCCTTGATTCAACAGGTCTATTCTAGTTGCAACTTATCACATAAACGAGATGCATGGAGCAGTGGTTATACTGCAGTACTAGAGCCAAACCTTTGCTCATGACCCAGGTTCAATCCCAGGTAGCCAGCTCAAGGTTCACTCAGCATTCCATCCTTCTGAGGTCAGTAAACTGAGTACCTAGCTTGCTGAGGGGGTGGGGCAATGTGTAGCTGCATAATTAAATTGCGCTGAGAGAGTGCTGTAAGCACTATAGGGTGGTATATAAGCAGCATGGTTTTAAATGAGAAATTGGCAAGATATCTTCATATCTCATCTGGTGTAAATGTTATCAAATTTGAAGGATTGGTGAAGAAACAAAAAGCCCCCCAACTCCAAAAGATCTCTTACCTACGTATAGTGAACATCTGAAAGCAGACAGCTGGCATGGCAGCATGTAGATTGCAGATTCAGGGCAAAACAAGATATCGGGGTATAAGTTCATGCAAACTCTTTCTCTCAAGACAAAAGTTTATTTAAATCTCTGTGGATCCAGTGGTCACTACATCTAGCCACTACATCTAGCCAGCAGCCACTACATCTAGGTTTTAAGGACCTTTTGTCCTCAGCAAAATAGTTTTGTGCTGCATCATCTTTCTGCATCTGGCAACTGCTCTTGGAAAGGCATTGGTGATATACACTGCTGTGTAAGATAACAGTATTTAGATGCAGTAATTATTGTGCCTCTTCCTTGGCATTTATAATGTACATGATCAGGTTTTAAGCACAGACTAAGTACCTGTTATGGCTTGAAAACACTGAAGGATATTATCCAATTATTTTGGTCCATTAACACTCTGGTCCAAACTGAAGACACTGATTCACAGTGATCAGGTACCAACTCCCCTAAAGTATTACAATAATCAATCATGGACTTATTCAAGGCTCCCAGTGGTGTCTTTAGTTTAGGATTTGTGTTTTGACTCCGCTATTCTCCTCAAGTTATTCTTTAATTTAGAAGTCAAGCCTTTCATTCAGGAATTGACATGATACGGAGCTTTGTAAAGGAACATAATGTCCTGGTCCTTCCTGTCTCCTTCCTATATGACAGCTCTATTATGAATTCTTCTACATTCTACTACTGCAAATACATTTCCAGGAGAAATCTTTGACATACTCAAAGCAGATATAATTAATATACAACTTTTTTTTCTTTTTCTAGGTTACACACAAGATTAAATAAAACTAATAGGGGTTATTACCTAAAGTTTTGGTTGTACTCAAAGTTTGTGTCTCCTATTCTAATGAAATCTTGTCCTCCTTTGTTAAAGATTTCTTTTTTTAAGATTGGCTTCATACTTGAATCCAATTTTTCAGTAAGATCCTAAAAAGTATAAAACCACAGTCAATAGTACAGTTAAAGTGGACAGTACCTCCAAAATCCTAAATACAGGCCATTCTGGCAACTGTTAAGAAAAAAAAGAGGAAAAATCAAATTCAACAGCTTTATAATCCAGCATCCTACATTAGCACTGGCAATAGGATTCTGAGTACTGTATCAAAAAATGACTCTTCCCATCTCAGTATATATCTGTACTCTTTACTGAACAAACAACTTTCCTGTGCTGTTCAGGCCTCATGTTTCTTGCTCCAGTGTGCTATTGACACCAAATATAACAGTAACTTCTTCCACACATTAGTTAAGGTAAAGAACTGAAGAAGATGCAAAATACAAACAATCACCATTAATACAATACAACATTGAACTAGGCAGCCATTACAAATCTTTAGCACAGAGCTGGACAATTTCCAGGAGCTAGGGGATCACAGTAGACTTCCCGGAAACTATCAGGAAATACACCCGAAGCCACTGCTCAGTGCAGCTATGACAGTAGTACCAAACCCACCTATTTCTTGTAAATAAGGTACATGGAAAGCCTCTAGGAAAGATAATTTTCTTTAAAATACAGACTGCATGATCTATGCACCTTCTTTAAAATGTTACTTTTGTTGTAACTGATTGATTTCCTGCAGCAATAGCAAAAATCTCCACTTTTAAACAAGTACACAATATACACTTGTTTACACTACAAAGATGAAGAACAATATTCATCAAAACAATGGGAAGAAAGGGGGGAATCAAAGGATAAATAGCCCAACTCAACACAACCTATTCAGAAAATGAAGATAACAGAGAATAATCCTAATGATGTCACCACTGTATGAATTAGTAGTAATGCTGGTAGAAAAGTACTAATTTGTAAAGAAGTAACCACACGGTGGTAGTCTGCCTTCACATGTTGGCAAAATTAAATAGGAAATGGGGGGAGTGGAGGGACAGAAAGGCAAAATATTGTGGTACTTTAAAAAGTAAGAGATTTATTTCTGTGTTAACATTCATGGATCAAATCTATTTCGTCAGTAAAACCTAAGGAAGTGAAAATGTGTCTAAAAAAGTGGATGTGATCCATTAAAGTACACACTGAAATAAATCTATTAATAATTAAAATGTTGCAATGGGCAAAATCCTATTACTGATAACTAGCATATTGCACAAGCTGTATCATCATCTGGTGTCAATTTTTATTTTAAATTAATGGAAAGCTTCCTAACCCCTCCCCCCTTTCAAGTTCCATGGCTCCATTTTGCCTTGAGGAAATCTTCGGGAGCCTCAGGATGGTGTGCGTGTGTGTGGTGGAGCCTTTAATATTTAAAAATTGCCACCAGACTTCTGTCAGTGGTTCTAACCTTGGTGGTGATTTTTGGCTAATGAAGGCTTCCTCCCATCTGAAGGCTCCTAAAGTCTCCCCCCAGGTCAAACTGGGCACCTAAGGAGCCTCAGTCTAAAGGGGGGGGGAATAGGAAACTTTCAGTTAATGTACATATATAATTATTTCATCCATATGATGTCATCTAGCTTATGAGTATAACTCAGGATTTTGCCTTATTTTTTCCCCTTCCCCCAAACAAAAAGGAAGAGAAGACTCACTCATTTGAGTGATAAAATGCCTCTGGTCACTTAGGAAGAGACAAGAGAAGCCAAGATGCCCAAGCCTACTTGCATATCTATTTGTCTATCAATTCCCACTAATAGCTTGCTACTTAAGTAGAGAGTGGCTGTATTTTTTCCAGCAGCCACTACAATAGTTTAAGAGGACCAGGGACACATGAACCTTATCCAGCAGCATAAATACTATGACAGGATCAACGTGCCTGTTCTGAATAAGAAATTATACACAGCCATGGAATCCTTATGTGCAATGCACAAAGACCATGAAGACAATGTTCACTTGTCACTCCAGTGACCAGCCATGGGTGGAAGGTGAGTTACCTGCAGCAGGACTGATTCACCAATACGCATAGAATTTTCAAGTTTTCTCAAGTAATTAGTATCTGTAGCATAAATTTGTCGCAGTTTGCCACTTGCTATTTGGCATATCCATTTGTGAGCTTGTCTTTCTGGATCGATTAGTAGAGGCCACCGTAGTCCATACTTAACATGTATAGCATTTTCTGTGGAATACTGATCAAGTGGCAATCCTGCATTTTGCCACTCGCGCACCTGTAAAATATGAATTTAAATTTTATTCCTTAAATTATTGCAGTTATAACAGGCAATCACACAAAAATGCAGAGTATAATCTCTCTAGGAAATTCCAGAAATAATACCAGTGGTTCTTTATCCAAGTGATGTGCTAATTTGTTAGCTATAGAAGCTGTAGCATGTAGGACAAATAATCAGGTTCTTTAAATTAAATTACATTAAATTAATGGGGAACACCTTTATTGCTTGCTCATTTTTCCTTATGCATACTGTGATGGGAACCCTGTCCAATCTGCTTGGTAACAGGGAAGCAAGATGTTTGGCTGGGTGATGCATGTGGCCAGCCTATCCGGGAGGGTCTGAAGGAGGAGGGTTGGAATGGAAGGAGTTGAAAAAGAGTAACTGAAGAAGGAGAATGTGTTGTTGAGCTGTTGCGTTGTAAGTGCAGAAGAAGTACTGAGCTTATATCTGTTTCCCAAGTTGTTGTTTCTTATTACAAAGAAAATAACATATTTCAGTCTTTAATTAATGAGTCTGGTGTAGTTAATGACTGATGTCAAACTTTTTAATGAAAAGCTATTTTAAAAAGTGACAAGCCTGGGCTGGTCACACATACTACCTCATTTTTTTCTGTCATGCAGTTTACTAGCGAGTAATTTGATGACACTGGGATATTGTTTTCATTGCAGAGTTTCAAACACTCATCAACCAGCTGTTGACGATACCCTGCAGATAATACTCCACTGTAGACAATGCACGCTGCTGAAACAAGGGCATCCCCCACGATTCCATGCAGTCTTTGATCAAAATTATTAACAGATTCTTTCCAGCGTTCCTAGGATATATTGAAAAAATGTTTACAACTAGATATCATAAACTTAAATATTAGACACCTTAGCTCATTTAAAACCTGTATTATTCACAACATTAGGCAGGAAGATCAAGGCCAGGAAGTTCACACCTTTGGCTCCTCAACAGACCTGAGGAAACTGTCAGAGCAGCCCCTTATCTAGGTCTGCTTAATACCTGTGTGACATCATTAGAGCTAAAGCCCAAGGTAGCAGCTGATGCTATCAGATCCAAAAGGGCTTTCAACTGGCCTGAAAACTATTTTTCTAACTTTTATTTGTTCCAGTATTTTAAACCTCACTGCTTATCTTGGTAGAAAGGCAGCATTTAAATGCATAATAAAATAAATTAAAATAGGTAAAAGCCTTGAATCCCAATGTTATTACTAGGAATTCCAGTAGTTAAAAACTATTCTTCAAATAATGTTATACCAAAACTCCCATCATAATCAGACTTTATATAGAAAAGAACTATATATTACAAAGACACCTGAGAGCTGAGCCCAGTCACATCTGACCCTTCCTTGAGTATGTTGACTATGAAGATCAGACTACTCTATTGAAGATCATGGACTTCCATCTAGCACTGGGTATTCCAGAAGTGTTGCACTGTAAACTTGCTGATGAGTTAAAGTTATGATCTGGCATATCATATTAGTGAAGGAAAGGGAAAGGGGATTTGGAATACACAACATTTAAATTGCTGTATTTTCTGTGTATAAGACACTACTTTTTCCTAAAATCATTACACTAAAAATTGAGCAGGCGTTTTTTACTGAAGTAAAAGCTGAGGAAGCGTCTTTTACAGAAGTAAGCTGAGATAGCTGGGGAGAGAACAAAACGACACATACCTTGCTTCTGTAAACAGGCTTCTTTCAGTCATGAGGCTTAGCTTCTTACAGTCAGGAGACTTAGCTTCCTCCAATCACAAGCCTTATGGAATTGACATCAGCTGATGTTGTACAAACCAACTGGAACACACCTTGTTGGAGGTGGAGCCTGTAGGCTCATATTCAAAGGGGACGCAAAATGTCCGATGTTCTGAGCCCAGAGGCTGAATACTCAAAGCTAGGCTTTCTTAATTTGGGGTTAGAAAAGTGGGGGCTCTTATAAATGGAAAAATATGGTAGTTTCAGTTGACACAAGGGAGGTCTGTCAATGTTGGGACAATGCCCCAAGATGATATGCTTTTGAAAACACATGGTGGGAAAAATAGACTTAATAACTGAATAAATGATTAAGCTGTCCCTTGAGCCATATTTTTATACAGGAATTAATGATCCCCTTTGCCACACAGATCTTACAGTTTTTTTATGCCTGAGAGCAAGGTTAGTGACAGCAAAATAATGGAAAGAAACTAGGGAACATGACATTTTTGGGAGACTAAGATGAAAGTGATTATATGCAAGTCAAAAAAGCTGTAGAAGAGAGATGTGGCTTTAGTGATCACATGCCTGAACTGATGCAAAATGTTTAAATAGTAGAAGCCCCAGAATAAGAGGGGAAAATTATGGGTGGGGAGGTACTCTAGCCTGTTTCACATTTCACATTGCATTGTGTGCTCAACAGGAAAATATGTGAATCAAACCATCCTCAAACCTCCAGCATTTACTAAATTTTTTCCCACATGTAGTTGTACCCTAAAACAGCTATCCTATTGGAAAGTTCATTTGTGTATGAAAAATAGTTTAATGCGAGGGGTGTGGAGCGACAGGCAGTGAGAACAGGGGAAATTCCAGGGCTCTGGATTCCCCTGGGCTTACTCCAAGTCAGTAGACTCTCCAGGAGAAGGGGGGCAAGTTTTCCACAGGAGAGTGGACTTGCAGCAAGTGAGGCTTTGGAAATGCTGAATTTCAGATGGCGGTCTGTCTTTTGGAAGAGTTTACCTTCCCACATGCAACTGTCTCGTGAAGTCACCATGATGGTGAGTTAGCTGCCTGGAGAGGGTGAGGTATAAAGATTTATTATCTGACTGCAGGAACAGAGGTTAATGATCTGCTGCTAAGCTACAGCAGGTAAAAGATCAAATGTGTTCTTTTGGAAGCAGATAAGGAGGAAGATCTCAAGCAGCATAACTTTGTAACATTGGAGTTTTTCTTACTGCATCACAACTGACAGAACTCAGAAAACGAAACCAACTTTTCTCTCTCTCTTAACCCTTCCTCCCAGAGAACTGGCTTTTCATAAATTCAGGACTTAAGAACTTTAAATAACTCTGCATAATGTAATCTATGTGACTCTGCATTGAGCTACAAAATGGATTATAAATCAAATAACATCCTTGGCACGGCTGGAGTTATGATTAGAGTCTCCTTTGCAAGACTTTAAGTGCGGACTAGCTAACAAATCATGAGGGAAATCTAACTAATTAACCTGCTGACTATTGTGGCCATGGATGGAGGGGGAGACTCATTATAGGAACCCACAATGGAGATTTATTTTAAGAGATTTCTTCAAGAATTCCAATTGGACATAATCAATCATTTCAAGGCTCAGTTTTTAGAAGTGAGAACAGAATTTAAGATGACACTTCTTGGACTGCATGAAAAGATAGAGAGTGAAGACAAACAGCTTAAACAAACCACTGAATTTAATGAACAACTACTATTGTCAGAGAGAGGAGCGAGAGGGAGAGAGACTGTTTCAAAGCAGTATAAACAAACCATTGAACACTCAACAACTGCTGTTGCCAGAGAGAGAGAGAGAGAGAGACTGGTTTTCTGAGAAAGTTGGACAAGAATCTCAAAAAGGACGAAAGGAGAGGTTGGAAAGAAGGGGGAAAGCATATTGAGACTGTTCCGACAGGAAAGAATGTAAAGGGGGAGAAATGGGCAAATTTGGGGGGCAGAAATTTACGATCAGAGATTGGACAGATCTATGTTGCTCCAAAACCAAGGCACTGACTATATTGGGATGAAATTAGTAAACCGGATAGAAAATGTCTTAAAGAGATATTATAGATGGCATTTGAAAAGCGGCAAAAAAATTGAGGCAAGAGGCCAATGCTGGATTGATAACACTGGAGCTGATAAGCAAAAATGAAAAGGGAGAAAGTTACTTGCTGAATAAATAATAGAAATCATTGGTTTGAGATATATATATTAACATATAAAAAATGACTAAAATAATATGAGCAAATTTGGCCAGATATGAAACTTAATGCTAGACAAGCACATGTAATGTATGAACTTCAGAAATGATGATGAATAATAATAATATTGGATGCTTTTGTTTACAATACTGACTATGTTGACAAGATTAGACATGTAGTATGTTTTTGTCTATAAGAATGGAGATTTTTGATGAATGAACTGGCCAGTGTGGATTTTATTGGTGGATAAGTAATCTTAAAGAGGAAATGAGAAATGTTTATGATGAGAATTGGATAGATGGAAATGAAGGTGAGAGAATTCATAAAATTTATTATAAATTTAGGATGTTAGACGCTTAATTAGATATACAAATAGGTATATGAAATATAACATGTGTAGATATACACAGATATACTATGATGTAGTATGGGAATAAGGCATAAGATCTGCTGTAGTCAGAAATTATATAATGGACAAGTTGGTAATGGAAATACCTCCCTGCTTATATGTTTTGTTGGTCTTGTGTGTTCTTGATTGTCTTGTAGGTTTTTGTTTGTTCTGTATGTATGTATCAAAAATAATAAAATGTTTTTAAAAATAGCTTAATGCTAGAGGAAGATAAATTGTATTATATGAGATTCTCCCCAGAAAATGCAACCCAGCAAGTCTTTGAAAAGAAGCACAATTGAACAGTAGGACTCTCCACATCCGTGTGGGATCGGTTCCAAGCTCCCCGTGGTGCTGAAAAACCTAGATGAATACTATTATAATAGAGAACACTCTACACAGCATGATCTCTGGTTCCCTTTAGTGGCCAGGACTTGTAATGAAATTATTAAAAATATATATTTTGAGGATTTTTCTTTTAATATTTTTAATATTTTTAGACCATGGATAAGTGAATCACTGGATATTGATCCTGCAGATAAGGACGTCCTACTGTAATTAAACTCATGTATTACAGAAGAGTGAAAAAGCAAATACCATTTCATCTTTCAGAGCTGTACTTAAAACAGATGCACAGTTTAAGCGGTGAGTTGTCTGATCTTTTCGAGCAGCTAGCATTTCTTGCTCAGCAATATTTTCTTCATACATTGATTCTAAATTTTGCTGATGTTGTTCAATCTGAAAAGTCAGACATTTCAAATTTGTAAAAAAAAAAGAGAGGAAATTTATTTTATTTATTTATTTATTGGATTTCTATCCCGCCCATCTAAACCAAAGGTCTACTCTGGGCGGTTTACAAATTTAAAAACAATAAAACAAAAAACATATATTATATATTATAGATCCAAGGTTGCCATTAAGACATATTAAGATATGGCAGGAGAGAAAGCCTGACCAAATAGCCAGGTTTTAAGTCTGTTCCTGAAAACACCTAGAGAGGGAGCCAGGCAGATTTCTACTGGCAAATTGTTCCAAAGGCGAGGGGCCACCGCTGAGAGGGCCCTGCTCCTCGTTCTTTCCCCCCGGAACCTCCCTCGGCATTAGGTCCCTCAGCTGCCCGGCCTGGCTGGAATGAGTGACTCTGGCAGAACTGGGTGGGAGAAGGCACTCTGCCAGATATCAAGGTCCTAAACCGTTTAGGGCTTTATATGTAAGAACTTTGAAATCAACATGGAAACAAATGGGCAGCCAATACAAGGTGGCCAGCATGGGGGAAATGGTACCTTTTCACCCCTGTGAGAAGTAGTTCCTTCCTTAGAAACCATAGATTAGCTTCTAGAATATACCCACATAAGTGCTGGACCATATATTTCAATATTATCATATTATGGGAGCTCTGCATTTCTTCAATCAGTCTGAGCAGAGATATATTGCTTACCTGCAACCACTCATCAGTAACCACCTGTGCAGTTACATGTATACAAAGCAATGTTTAGAACTTTCTAGCAGTTTGGTGGTAAGCCTGCCTTGAAGGCTATACAAAAAGCTTTAAATCAGAATGCAAGCTGATTTAAAAAACCCCATCCACACTGGTAAAGTATGGACAGGTTTTCCAATCAAACACCAACAGTATACAGATATGGACAGTCATGAAGTACCAATGAGCTTGCAGTAGTAAATTGATATCAAATGACACTTTACCCCATTAGTGGCTTATAGCACAGAAGCAAAATCTAATTAGTAATTAGTTACTGTTCTATTTCTTTGCTCCCCAATAGCTTCTGTTACAGTGAACAGAGTGAGAAACACACCAGAAAATAAAAAAGCTAGCTAAGTACCTAATATCTACATATTAACATAACATCAGCAAAGTTTTTGGAGGATGCACAGAGTGCATCTCTTTCAACATAGCATTACAGGACAATAATTGAGCAGTGTCTCCGACCTAAGAGATACAGTACCTAGACCAACAAAAAATAACTTATGTACCCCTTTAAATATCTTAAACACCACATTCTGGACCTTTTGAAATGATCTGCCAATCAGGTTCTGAGTTTCATTGAATGTTCATGAGGACAAGAACATTCCCCCTCCCTCCTTTCACACAGCTGAAGTCATTTTCCAATTAGCACATCACCTGGGAAGGCGCCAACCTGGCCTTGTTCTTCACTCAAAAAACTAAACTGCAGGTGGTACTCCCATTTTGTTTTGTTACAACACTCTTCCCGCCAGCAATCCCCAGACATTGACAGAAAGCCTGAATGTTCTAGAAAGTTCTACCAATTCTTCACACCACTCCTTTGCATGAAGAAGCGACAAAATGGAGGATTGGCTATTCCTCATTAATGTGCAACCACAATGTAATGTAATCATCCTTTTATTATTGAGGAAAATGACTATTAGTAACTAGGCATCTGCAATTTGTAACTTGCATATTCTGAACTTGCTCAGAAGAAAATGAGATCTGAGCATATCTTCTACAGTAGGTCTAGAGATTCCTCATGCTTCTGTTTAAGCTTTGAATCTGGCAGCCCAAACTGATGCAGTTGTATGTTTTTGAAGGAACTGTTTGTAAAACAAGCTTCAAAGCCAGGATTAGCACCAAAATGTGTTGACCACAGCATCGAAAAAAGAAATGAACACGAAAGCAGAAGCCACATCTCTTGAAGAATGTTCTGAAGAATAAGACTTCCCATAAGCTTATTTTGCTTAGCTCTAAAAAGTTCAAATATTGCACTGTACAAGTGTAGAACTGGTATGAGCAGCTTGTACAGAAACTACAAAGAAAATTAAACAGAATATTCTCTTTATTTGCAGTTTCACCAAAGTGTTAGCAAAATGAGCTCAAAAGTAAGGAAGAAAAAAAAAAGAAAAAATCACAATTGCTTGTTTTTTGTTGTCTCACTCTCTGTACTACACAGCATTATTTTTCTTCAACAGAAACACACACACACATTTCCCAGATTGTTTCTATTTTCATCTAAAGGGATAACTCAGATAAGTAGAAGAAAAAATTGAGAGGATATTTTATTGTAGATAATAAAGCAGACCTCACTAATTGAGGACTTTGCTGTTAAATAACAAATATCTTTATTATTTGTTATTCAAAAACTATATTATAACTACATTATAAGATTATAATAATAACTATATTATTAGTTGTTGAATAACAAATAATATAGATACAATTATAATAAATAAATCCTAGATAACAGGTGGATGTGAAGTGTATATTATTTGACAAATAATATAAGTACTGGTGCAGATGACAATTAGAATTATTTTACCAAAGCTAAGCTCCGTTGTTTTTCAGCCAGTTTTTCATATGCACGTTTTAGTAGCTCTTCTGCTTCTGCTACCTTTGCTTGTTTTGGTTCTACAAACTACATCAAAACATATAATTACAACTCAACACAAACGAGGTGAAATGACTTAGAGGAAAATAAAATAAAAATGTCAAAAATAAATACATAGACACATATGTAACATGCATATAGATCAGTGGTTCCTAATCTTTTTTGAATCATGACCCCCTTTTACAATAGCCAAGTAACCTGCAACCCCCTTGCCATATTTGCATAATAGGATAAAGAGATCTGTTCTCAAAAAAGTAGATGCTTCTTTCTCTCCCAAAGGGCCTGTTTCTCATATGTACACATACATATTAACGTAATATCCCGCTCTGAAGGGTCAAGGAAGAACTGAGCTGGACAGGGGTATAACACAAAGGAGAAGGGGACAACAAAGGACGAGATGGCTGGACAACGTCATCAAAGCTACCAGCATAAATTTGACCAAACTCCGGGAGGCAATGGAAGACAGGAGGGCCTGGTGTGCTTTGGTCCATGGGGTCACGACTTAACAATTAAACAACAACAATAACACATATAAGGTGATCTGTAACCATGGCCAGAAAATACTTTGTGATCCCCTTGGGGGTTGCAGCAAAGTGTAGCCTGCATAATTAAATTATAAACTGCTCAGAGGGTACTTAAAGCGCTATGGGGTGGTATATAAGCAGCATGCTTTACTTTGATTTAGAAACCCAGTATGAGTGCTGCACTTTAAACATATCTTTTGTAGCATTTTTTTGTGTTTAACAAAAATAGCTCTTGGACCAGTTAACAACCAAACAATCAAATAAGAAAAAAACCCCTAAAAAACAACCCAACCCCCCCCCCTTGTCTGAAAATGTGCTATCAAAAAGGCATGAAACAAAAGGGGGAAGGGATGGAGAAAAGGGAAAAGAAAAAGCTTTCCATCAATGTTGACAGAACAGCCCTGCTGGAACTGAGAACAGATGAGCATTTGATAGTGTGGGGTTTTGTTTTGTTTGTTTTTTTAATTTGGGGTTTTGTTTTTTGTTTTTATTTTGCTAAAGGGGATGTTCCTGCAAGGGCAAAGATGTCAATTAAAAAAATCACGAAAAGCCTTCTTTCTTGTGGTCATTTGGCATGGAATTAAATTAGTTGTTTAATAATTTAAGCTACATTACATCAGGATTTACCTGAATGCTTTCAAAACTTAAGCATTTGATAATCTACAATTTTGTTCTGAACAGTTAACATAGCCAATCAAAAAACAAAAAACAACTCCCCCCACAAACAAACTCTCAAAGACCTTTGCTGAGTATATAATTAAAATGCTATGAAATCAATCCAGCCCCCTCCCCATCTTTAAGGCTCAAGAGCTTCCATGCATATGGGCAAGAGATTCCCACACTAGTCTATCCTCTTCTTCATGAATTGAATTGTGTATTTCTGTAAACATTTCCATATGCAGGAGGGGGATAGATTATGCCCTATATAATTAGTAAATGAATGCCCCATGGAATTACAGTGTTTCTATTTTTTAAAATCTGCACAAATTTTGTTTAAAACTAAGCACACATTTGAAAAGTATTTCGAACACCTTCCAACATGTAATGCAGGGGCCCCCAACCCTGGTCCGCAGCTTGGCACTGGTCTGTGGGCTTCGCAGGACCGGGCCGCAGAGACAGATCTCCTGCACACATGCATGGTGGACTCACGTACATGCACAGGTGAGCAGCCATCTTTGAGGATGGGCATGGTGCATTCACTGGTGGGCGTGCTGTGTGCACACATGCATGCCCCACTCACACACAAACATGCCATGCCCATGCACATGAGTGTACCAAGCCCATCCGCGAGCTCACCCGTGCATGTTCTTGAGTGTGCCACACCCACCTGCAAGTGTGTGGTGTGCCCCTGCCCCCCATGCACAGACCCTACCCCCTGAACCGGTCCACGGTTCTGAAAAGGTTGAGGACCACTGTTGTAATGTGTTGCTTTAAAAATAAATGTTCTTAAATTCATCAGATATGGAAAATCTAACTATACCTTTTTTACAATATGGTAGTGATCTAGAGCTAAAATCCATTGACACATAGAGCAGCAGGCAACAGAAACAAGTCCAACTTTCACAGGGCTGAAGTCAGGTGATTTAATGTATTTTTTCAACTGCACAAATACCTAAAATGAACACAGACCTGTTACTAAAACAATCATAAACTTTACTGGTCAGTTAAGGAGCTCTTCTGCTAGAAATTTTATTGGTAATATTGAAAATTCTGAGGCAGTGTTTTGAACATGCTGCTTTCATTTACAATTCTATGTTTGGTTCTTCAAAGTAAAATAGAATGTAGTCTGTAGTAAACCAGGAATCAATTGATCTGTCCAGTCTCTTGGAGGAGACCATTTGTAGGATGAGAGAGGTTACTTACCTGTAACTCTGGTTCTTGGAGTGGTTATCTGTGAATTCACACAATAGGGTTTATTCTGCACTTGCGCAGAGGTTTGCATGCATTCGCCAGGACCGCCCTCCCAGTACACGTGGTCCACCCTGTCCTAGCAATTGCCTCAGTTCCTAAGAACAGTCCGCCACTGTACAAAAAGGAGACAGACATGATGTACAGAGAGGAGGACAGGTGTGAATTCACAGACGACCACTCAAAGAACCAGAGTTATAGTTAAGTAACCTCTCTTTCTTCTTTGTCATCTCTGTGAATGCACACTATAGGGTGATTAGCAAGCTTGCTTTCCGGAAGAGGGATGTCATGGAAGTACTGATGACAAAGCAGCTTTACCAAAAGCTACATTGGCCTTGGTTCTGACTTCAAGGCAGTAGTAAGTGGCAAACATAGATGGAGTAGACCTTGTAGCAGCTTTGCAAATATCTGGAATGCCAACACCTTTCAAAAGGGCTGTGGAAGTTGCAACAGCTCTAGTGGAATGCCCTGTGACAAAGGATGGTAAAGTCTTGTCAATAAGGTAGTAAGCGAGATTTATTGTTTTCACAATCCAGAGGAAAACAGTTTGTGATGATATAGGGGATCTTCTATTGAGCTGATGGGGAGTGACAAACAGTCTTTTAGATTTGTGGAAGGAGGAAGTCCTAAAGACAGAATGCCAAAGCCCAATAAACATCAAGGGAAAGTAAAGAATGTTCTAGGTTGGTAGACAGCAATGGAAAGAAGGTAGGTAGAACTATAAGTTGTTTGATGTTAAAATCGGGGACAACTTTAGGTAAGGAGAAGACATCTGGATAGAGAGTAAACTTCTGAGAATGAAACTGGAGGGAAGGAAGGTTGATGTGGAGTGTGGCGAGCTTGCTAACCCAACGGGCTGAGGTAATGGAAATGAGAAATATGGTTTTGAGGGAGAGTAGTCTCTCAGAAGTCATCGCCAATGGCTCAAAGGGAGGTAGAGTGAGGCATTGTAGGACAGTACAGTGGTGTCTTGACTTAAGACCGTAATCTGTTCCAGAAGAAGAATGTAACTCAAAATGGTTGTAAGTCGAAGCACCATCCCATTGAAATGCATTGGAACGCGATTAATCCATTCCAGAAGGAAAAAAATACCCCCCAAAATAAAATAAAAATAAAACACTGCAAGCCCCATAGGAACACCCCAAAATAAACAACAGAGCAAGCCCCAAAGGCGCTGGGGCATTTAAAAACAAAAAACAAAAATAAACAATGGAGCAAGCACCATCAGAAGGTGCTGGGTCTGCAAAAAACAAAAACAAAAAAATAAACAACAGAGCAAACTTCAAATGCACTGGGGTTTAAAAAAAAAAACCAAACCCAAAAATAAACAATGGAGCAAGCTGTATCGGAAGCCACGAGGCTGGCAGAAAAAAGGGGGGGGGAAAAAAAAAAGGAGCAAGCCCTGAAGGCACTGGGGCTTTAAAACAAACAAACAAACAAAAAACCAAAAATAAACAACGGAGCAAGCTGCATTGGAAGGCGCTGGGGCTGCAAAAAATTAAAAATAAATAAAAAATAAATAAACAGCAGAGCAAGACCCGAAGGCGCTGGGACTTAAAAACAACAAAAAAATCAAAAATAAACAACAGAGTAAGCCCCATTGGAAAGCGCTGGGGCTGCAAAAAAAAAAAAGGACCAAAAAACCCCTCAACAACACGGCACAGAAACATAACCCCCTCAACCCAAACCCACCCTGCAAAACCCATCCAGAACAGTTTTTTAAAAGCAGAAAGCAGCAACCTACCTTTCCAGGCAGTCCCAAGTCTCCTCCGATCGCATACTCTCCAACCGTTGAGCCGAAAGAGCTACAAAGAAGCAGCCTCTTCACTGACCAACAGTTAGCAAATTTAAATTCCCCGCCTTTTTTCCCTGCCTTTTTCCGGTCCCAACTCAAAGCTTCAGCGGCAAGTTGAAGCAAAATTTTGTGGCCGGAGCAGGTCGCAACTCGAAATGGTCCTAAGTCGCCACGTTTGTAAGTTGAGGCACCACTGTACTTAGTGACCATTGTGGGGGAAGTGATGGTCATGATGGTCAAATGTTTGTGAGACCTTTGAGGAATTGCTTGAGAATAGGGTGACGGAATAGTATGGCAGCACTGGAGTCTCACTGTTGGTGTGAACTTATGGCAGATATGTAAAATTTGAGAGTGGACAAAGAGAGGTTATGATGGAAGAGATGAAGCAAAAGCACTGATAGCATATCAAGAGTTGTTGGGACAGTAGGTTGTGAGTTGCGTAGTGCTGCTGTTATATTGTTTGAGATTTCTTCACCAAAGAATACACCCTGTAGCATGCATTCTCAGAGACCACAAGGAAGAACTCTTATTTACAGACATAACGTAAGGAAAACACATGCCTAATTTATATACTTAACAAGCAACTTTACATTTGACTGATGACAGAGTGCTTGAAATCAAGACCAGCATTTCTACAAGGAGTTATGTTATTCTCTGAGAATCATGATTAAGAAAGAATTGTAACATTCTAAATCTGTACTGAAAGACTCTTCAGAGATGAAGGATGAAGGTATCATTTATTTTCCAGAATATGTGAAAGACATGTACAGTAATTTATATTAGATTGTTGCAGGAATGCAAAAACTCTTGTGCATGTTCAGGCAAGAATGACTCCTTGGGGGGAATTTGAGATGTCTGTGTAGTTGTTGCACGACATAAACAATATACTTTTAAAATACTGGCCAGTATCCTATAGGTGTTTTGTGTTACATTTGCAAAACTTGATGCAGCTAATTGTGGGTAACTAATGAGATGCTGGGGTGCATCTTAGTCATGCAGCTGATCATGTCCCTGATTGTATAATCAAGATGTACCCTTAGCACCTTGTCTTTTAGCTGCAAACAGCCACAACGAATTATGCAAATTATATGTGAATACCAGTAAGCATCCAGCCATTTTTAAACAAAGCAAGATCACAGATTGTTCTAATGAAACAATACATGACAGAAATCTCATCCACACAAACACATTCCTTAGAAATTAACTATTTTTTTAAATAAAAAAACCCTAAAATATGAAGAAATTCTTTTTCCTAATTGGGAGGTGGGGGAAAATTAGAATAGAAACTTATGAAATCATGTGGTCTACTGGCCCGACAACTCTACCCCTCATTTACCTTTTCTGGTAGATTATCTTTGTCAAGAGTAACCAACTTTTTAAGGAATCCAGGGTCTGCAAGCAGTAATTTTGCTGTTGCCCAGTTAGGCTTCTTTTGGAGAAGGACACATACAGCATTCATAACAGTTAGAACAAGTGGAGGAGGACGGGTATACACTCTGTGTGAAACAAAAGAAAAGTGAATGGTGCAACATTTGTACAGCATCTATAAAATTCAAGATCCTTGTCACCAGAAAACTGACAAACTTTCTCCCAGGAGATTAGGGCTTGATTATCCAGGTTTATGTTGGATAATAGACTGGCAATTCCTGTGATTTAGGAAATGATCTAGCTTTCACAGATTTTTGGTCAGTAACTTTCTAGGATGGAATGGGGATTCAAGATTTAGTGTAAATTTGTTAAATGGTGAAAATAGTTGGTTTATAGAATGTTAAAATATTTAGTAAGTAAAATGAATAGTTAATTGCATTATTTGTTTGTAATGTGATTGTCTAAAATAAAGTTTTGCTATTTAAAAACAAAAGGATAATAGACTGGCAATTCCTGTGCCTCTAAAGATTACATGCTGGATTCTGTACTTCAGTTCAAACAGGGGAAACACATCTAAATCTGGAGTGGGAAAAGCTATGGGACAGAAGTAGAAATTTTTTAATTACTGAAACTTGCCCTCTGCTAATATTATCAGCCTCCCACAGGTGAAGCTAAACCAACAGTATTTTACCCATTTTCTTAATTCTCTTTTTATTTAATCAAGGAACTCTAATATGCATAATAGAGAACAGGCAGCCATACATCTGGGAACATGACAGTGAGTCAGCCTCACAGACACTGATTACTAGTTCTTGGGGGATTTTTAGCAGCTCACCTGCTTCTCACCACAGATTAGACAGCACACAATTGACTGGGCCTGAAACAATACAACTTAACCTACACCCAGCACTTCCTTTCTTTCTTCCCAAGACACGTCCTTGTTTAGATATCCTTAGGCAAAAATTGCTGACCAGACATTAAAATTGTTTGCTTATATTCTTGATGCAGCAGTGATGAAATCTGGCTCCTGATTTAAAAGCATACTTCTGTATATTGTTATAAAATTAATAATCTCTTAAATTAACATAAAAGGTGTGCTAGTCGGGACCAAAACCAAGTTAGTACAGAAGCCTTTCTAAAATTTTCCTTCTATTTACCAGAAGAGGAACTATTCTCCAGCCTGAAATATTACCTCAGAGCAAACAAAACAGAACTCACAATAAATAAAAATGAGCAGAAATGGGGATTTGGAATGGAGCATTCTATTTATTGCTACTATAGCCAAGTGGTTATAAAGAGAAAATATTGATTTGTTGCGTTATTTGATTGGGCATTATCTGAGAAATGTAGACTGATCTAAATTAAAATCATGACCAAATTCTAATAAGCAGGAATATCCTTACCTAATTTCTGCAATGTGGTTTTTGTCAAGTGCATCAAGAGCATTAAGGGCTTTTTCCAAAGATGGCAGTACAGCATTGAGTTCCTCTGTTGCTTGCTACATAATAATAATTTAAAAAGTAAGAACAGCTATAGAACATTGCTTTCTGTACTATGTAGAAAATGTTTTATTTCAGTGGTGCTGTGGAGAATGTGCTATAATGGTTAGAATGTTTATCACAAACCATCTGCACACATCACAAAATGCACAGAAGCTGCAGAAAGAGATGATAATTCGACATGAAATCAGGAATTTCTTTGTTCCAACAGTCATACTAGTAAATTTAAAGAAGTTTTTCATCAGTCTCCTTATCTAACAGAACATCTGACATTTGCTTGGTATTCTCACCACGTTTGTGGTGTTTGTCTAGAAGCTGGAGAGACACATATTAGAAAACAAGTGGAAAAACAAACAGAATATGCTGTACCTTGGCATATTCTTCCACAATGCGTGTTTCTGCAGCCATGATTTCTTCATCCTCTTTAACAATAGTTCGAACTTGTTCCACTACCAATGCATCTTTGTGAAGCTTTTCTACAAGTTCCTCTATTTCCTGGGGAAAACAGACATATATTTTTCTTCTGAAATTCAGATTTTAGAAGCAAAATGGATGTCTTCCAAACTAATAAATAAATTGGTTGTTGTGGATTTTTGGGCTCCCATTATTTATGGGATTGTAAACATTATAATCACAATAAGAATATAAGACTTGGCCTTCTGGAAAGAACCAAAGATCCATTTACTGTATTCCAGCAAGCTGTATCCAGTAATGGTTAGCTCTGTATTCCTGGAAAATGTGTAAGCATGTCAGACACAGTCAGCCATCTCCTGGTAATCAAATGCATACTGTCTTTCAATCAAAATTAACTGATCTATCTTCTATGAGTTTAATTTTTTTATTATCTTCATTATCAATACCATGTTTTGTGTGAATAAATTCTATAATCAAATTTTGTACCATGTGATCAATATTTATTTATTTATTTGATTTCTATACTGCCCTATTAATGAAAGCACCATGCTGGCCAGTTTACACAAGGCTAAAACTTATAAACTCTCAATACTCCACAATAAAAAATAAAAATAATAAAAAACAATATGGCAATACAGCTGACATTAATTATAAACACAAACATGAATAGCCTGATTAAAATCTAGACCTGGTTTTTAAAACATTGTTATTAACAGCATCTCAAAGATTATTAAGAGCAGCTTTAACAGTCTCTACAGTGGACCTTCGACGTATGAAGGTCCCTACTTACGGAAATCTCGAAGTACAAAAAGCTCCGGCGGCAAAATTTTAGTTCAACTTGCGGCTGGAGATTTGACCTATGAAAGGCAGGGGGAAAGGGCGGGAAATTCAAAGCAGCCCCTGCTGCCCTCATGTCTCCTGTTCCCGGTGCCCTCCGCCTCCTGTGGACAGGAGGCAGAGGGCACCGGGGACGGGAGACAAGAGGGCAGCGGGTGCAGCTTTCTAAGGAGGGAAGGATCCTGGCATATCTCTGATGATATTTTATTCTAGAAACCAGGGGCCACAATCAAAAATGTATGATTCATTGTATTCACCTTTTTGGCCTCCCTCAGTGTTGCAAGTTTTAATAACATGGATGCAGCGGAGCAACTGGGATGGATACCTGATTTCTGGGAGAGTTGTTCCAACAAGTATTGAAATCCCAAACTGTTGAGGGCTTTATAGGTCATAACCAACTCCTTCAATTGAGCACAGAAATTAGCTGGGAGCCAATGAAGACATGCCAAGTCGGGGGATATATGATGAATTTTACTAGTCCTGGTAATCTGTCTGGTCACCGTATTTTGGACCTGCTGAAGTTTCTGTACTGTTTTCAAGGACGGCATATGCAGAGACCATTACAGTAGTCTGTTTTTGAGATTACTAGTAAGTGGACCTCTGTTGTTAGGCATTTCATATCCAGGTAGGTGTGCAACAGGGCATTCAATTGAAGTTGATAGAAGGCACTCTTGGTCACAGCAGGTATTTGACCTTCCATAGAGAATGCTGGGCCCAAGAATACCACTAAATTGTGCACCTGAACCTTTGTGGGGGTTGGGGGGAGTGTAGTCCCATCAAGGACAGGAGAGTTTCTTTCTAAAGTCCCCAGTACTCCTCCTAACAATGAATTTCCATCTTATCTGGAATCAGTATTAGTTTATGGCCCTCATCCAGTCCATTATCAAAGATAGGCAGTGCTCAAGGACTTGTACAGTATCATCTGCAGTCAAAGAAAAGGAGAACTAGAACTGCATGTCATCAGCATACTGGTGAAATCAAACACCAAATTTGTGTGTAACTTCTCTCAGCAGATTCATGTAGATTTTGGGTCCTTTTAAGGAGTCTTGGGTCCTTTTAAAGAGAAAGGAGGGGTAAAAATTTTTTAAATGAATAAATAAATGAGTTAAAAAGCATTGGGAAGATGGTTGACCCTAAAACAGAGGTCTCAAGGGGTGGACACAACATTCCCAAGCTATACCATCTGGGATTGGCCATCATGGAAGGACTGGAACACCAAAATATGATGCCTCGATCCCTAAACTCAACTGTCTTCTCAGAAGGATAATGCAGTTGAAGGTATGTGACTCTCAAGACCTCCAGTATAGTTTTAGGACAGAACTGCATGTTGTATCTCTGCTTGACTCCACTATTTCCATCAGAATCAGGAAGATTCTCTCCCCTTCTGCAGCCCTGAAACCTATTCTGGAGAGAAACTCTCCAGAGTAGGGTTGTTTTGTTTCTTTGTTTTTACACCAACTAATTTAACTCTTCTAGTGGATATGTAGATAAAGCGGAAAGTGATACCAAAAAGATCATGTTTCCAAATGATTATTTGCAATTAATAATGTATTACTGTGTTAGCAGCACCCTACATACATCCATATAAAATGCTGCTTTTGTGTTCTAACCTGGTCACAATAATGCCTCAGTAACTTCCCGTTTAGACATCTGCAATGCACTCTAAATGTGGCTACCCTTGAAGATAACACAGATGATTCAGCAGGTGCCACAGGAACTGCTAAAAGGAATATCCTTCAGAATCCATATGAACAGCAGTTCTGAAGGATGTTCACTGGCTGCCAATACACTTCTGGTCTGAGTGCAAGGTGTTTACAATGACTTATAAAGCCCTAAACTGCTTGGGACCTGGATATTTGAAGCACCACCTCTCCCTATATAAACCTCCCTGATTGCTAAGATCTGTTGGGAAGGCCCTGCTCTATGTCCCACCATTGAAAATACTTCATTATATAGAGACACAGGGAGGACTTTTTCCCTCATAGCACCCCAACTGATGAATACAGTAATCTCACCTTAGATGGCATCATTTCAGCGCCAAGTCAAGATGTACTTATTTGTTAGAGCCTTTGTGGGCTGAGGATTATGGCCTGCATAGGTCTTAATGCAATGCTTTTAATGCTTTTATTGTATAAATGTTTTAATTTTGTGATGTTTGATTTTAAATAATTTTAAATATCTTATGTTCTAAAATTGTTTTATACAGTTTTGGAACTAGCCTTGAGACTCTGTGATATATAGGGAGTGCTATAAATGTTTAAATACATGAATAAATGATAATCTGAGACATGATAGAAGAAAGGTAACATTTTGAAAAAAAAATCTAAGATATTTTAATTTAATGTGTTGGTACCTGTGCTTTTTTCTCTATTTGAGGTCCAAGGACAAGTAACTCGTCTTGCATGTCCGCAATGTGTGAGGTTGCTTCTAGGATTTTGGTCAGACCAGAATGATAAGAAGTTCTGAAATTTTAAAAAAAATGAAACCTAATTTAATAGCGATTAAATTAGTAAATGCCATTGGTAAACCTAACCAATGGCATGTATTACACAGCTATCATTGATAATTAGTAATATATATTAATAAACCTGGGCCTACGGTTTTTGCTACAGCTCAATAATGTATATAGTATTTTGGGAAATGGAAAACCAAATATCAAAACTTCAAATAACATGAGGTTCTTTCAGAACAAGGCAGTGGTAAACACTGGGCTCAGCATTAGTTCTGTTCTTTGGCTTGCTACCAAATTTATCCTAGAAGTTTCCAGCAAGTGATATAAGAATCCATCATCTCCAGTGATTTTGACTCCATATGCTAAGATTGCACTTATGCAATGGGTGTTGGACCACTGTATCAGAGGTATGATTCACTTTCACTGCTAATGATTAAATAGAAATGTATTTAAATGCCTAATATTGGAAATAAAAAGGCATGTTTTTTACAGAAATCTCTAATGCTGCACAATTGATTAAAATATTAATACTTTCATGAAGCTATGGTACACTATAATAGTTTGTACATTACTGTATAACACATTACATATGCCATTTTTCCTACCTGTCTTTCAAAGTTTTCTCTTTTGTTGACTGAAGTATAGTTGAAAAAGTACTTATGAATTGTAAGTAGCTTTTGGGAGTGATGTAGTAGTGTCTTTTAGTTTCTTTCAAAAACTTCTCAATAATGATAGATACATCTTTGTGGATATTAACACACATGTGAACAAGCAGATTTCTGAAATTCTATAGAGAAACATAATAATGAAAAGATTATATTTACGCACTGAACATATATGCTTATCGCCATTTTGATCTGATTTTGTTTGCTATAGTTGTTGGCTATGTAATTGAAGCATTTTGTTTATTATGTTTACCTAAATCTCCATCAATATGGAAATGATAATACAGTGGTGCCTCAACTTACGAATGCCTCTACCTATGAATATTTTGACTTACAAACAAAATTTTGCTTCGACTTGCGAATGGAGCTTCGACTTACGAAGAGGAAAAAAACCACAGGGAAGGAGGGGAAAGCAGGAAATTTGAACTTTCAGTTAATCATTGGCCAGCGAAGAGGCTACTTGTCTACCTTGCTCACCCCAGTGGTTAGAGAGACTTCAGACTGCCTGGTACTGCCTGGTACTATACTGTATGTACTGTATTTTTTTGGCTTTTTTAAAAAATGTGATTTTTGGATTTGGACTACGTGGGGGGGTTATGTTTCTGTGCTCTGATGGGTCTTGCAGACCCTTTCTGCAAGGGTCTGTGCTGGCTGGTTTGCTCTAAAAAGGAGTTTAGTCCTTTGGTTTTAAAATCAGAATTTTTTTTGCTAGGGTCTGCGCTGGCTGGTGTGCTCTAAAATGGAGTTTAGACTCAAGTCTCTACCGCCCATTGTCTTCTCTCTCTCTCTCTCTCTCTATGCTCCCCCCCAATGCTGAGGGGGTTTGTTTGCTGGAATAATGGTTGCTGGATTCTGTGGCTCCTAGGGTTTGTGTACTGTGGTATGCTGAACCTCTCTTTTGTTTTAAAGGTTGGTGGGTGGGTTTAAAAGGTGCTTGGGTTGGTTTAAAATGTGTTTTGTTTAAAAGTTGCTTGGTGTGGTATTTGCCCCTAATGCTCAGATGCCATCTGTCTGGCCACTTTCTCAGCTTTGAGCTGTAGGTCCTGAGCTTTTTCTGCAGCTCTGGCTTTTTCCCTAATTTCTAAATATCTAAGATTGAATTCCTGTTGTAACTTCCATTTTTGAAAATCTAGGGAGCTTAGGACACCTGATCTTTCTGAGGTATTTTCCTCAGTCTCTAACTGTTCTCCTGGATTTAAAGGGTCTCCATTTCCTTCCATTTCCTGAGGTGCTAAACTTTGTGCCTCTTAAGACTCAGTTTCCACTGTTACTGGTCTTTTAGTTCCTTTGGGGGGCAAATTTATCTCAGTTACTTATTCTAGAGTGTGTTTCTACTGTCTTCCTTCTTTTAGTTCCAGTCACTGAAATGAATTCTATTTTAAGCAAAGGCTTTTTCTTCTCTTCCCTCAGATCTGCTCTGACCCCTGGCTTCTGCTTTTTCCAAAAGCGGTCTCAAAACTCTTAGAGCCTTGAGCTGTATGCTAGCCCACTGGGTCTTCAAATCTTGAGGTAAAACACAGACATTTTCTCTCAGAGTCGTTCCCTATCTTAGACCCCCCAGATCTGGGTTCGGAAGCCCCCACCCCTAAGCTTTTCCCAAAAGTTCTAGTGAGGAACCAAACTTCTTTGCCACAGACCTCTGTCTAAGAGGTACCCTTGACTCAAGAGAAATTCTTTTTAAACTCAGGCCTGACTGGATTTCTTTGTATCCAAACTCAGGCTTCACTGGATTCCTTCGTATCCCGCCACTGGACACCAACTGTGGCATTTGCCCCTCGTGCCCCTGGTTGACGCTCCAAACACAGAGCACATGAAGGCAAACTAATACTCCTTTTCACCCAGCTGCCACCAGTTGATCACTAAATCAACTTTAATTAAGGAAGGATGAAGATGCAGCTCCAAACTTCACTGTCTTTTAAATAAAACATTTTTATTGATTGCAGATATCAGAATATTAATCATAGGTAACTTCTATTATCATCAATCTCAACTTTCTATTTGTCATTTCAGTTCTTACTCACTTTTCACTCTAATCACCACAGATCTCCCAAATACCACACTCTATCTCCTTTTCCACTCTCTCACTCGCCCTTACTCTGACTCTCTGACTGACTGACTAACTGACTGCTCTCTGACTCCGCCTCTTTATTACATATCTCTTGGCTCAACCTCTCAGCAACATTAGCCTGAAACATGAATATTCATAAATACTTAACATGATAAGGGTGAACACTACACTTGGTTTGATTTAAAATGTGTTGGTGTAAAATGTGTGGGTTTAAAGTGTGTGGGTTTAGCATGTGTGGGTTTAAAATGTGTTTTAAACTCCAAACTCCCCCCCCTCAATTGTCTTCTCTCTCTCTGTCTTCTCTCTTTTTGTCCTTAAAAGCACAAACCTTTGTCTGAGTGGTCTGTGTGCCGCAGTGATGACCTTCTTTCTTTCCTTTTTCCCCCACTGTTCCCTCCATCACTCCTTTCCTGCCCCTTTTTAAACCTAAGTAATCTTAGGTTTTTTTAAAAAAATTCTCCCCTAGTGGTAGAGGACAGATTAACCAGTTTTACATTAGTTCCTATGGGAACTAATGTTTCGACTTACAACCGGTGCCTCTATATACAAACAAAACACAGCTGGAACAGATTAATCGAGTTTCAATGCATTTCAATGGGAAATGCTGATTCGACTTAAGAACTTTTCAACTTGCGAACATCTTCTGGGATGCATTAAGTTCATAAGTGGAGGCACCACTGTACATGGTTGGTTGCATTTACCTGCAACTGCTCATCTGTAAATGTCCCTCTATGTAGACAAATGTAAGAGAGACCTGCATGCCATATACAGCCTGCAATTTAAAATTCTGCATTGTTTGGACTGGAGGAATTCCTGTGTCTTCCACAGGTATTCCTATCCATGTGGACATGCCCTTTTGATTATTTTATTTATTTTTTTAAAAAACATTAATAATTTTGATGTGGTGAGTTTTTTTTATAATGTGAAAAAGACAAATTTGTATGGGTTGGAGCTTTCAGAAAATACTTAAAGATGTTCTCAAACCTTTTCATGCCTGAACAATGCTAACCCATGAAAATGCTTAGTCTTCATGAGTATTAACAATGGCAAATGTTCAAAAAATTGCATTGACAAAAAATATGAGAAAGGCTCTGGGATTTAGATGATCAGATTCGCATTATTTTCTACAATGCTCGATAGGCAAAAACTTTATTTGATCACTACAAAATATATCTATAATACAATCTGCTAGCTTTTATGGCTTCATCAAGGCATGAGCCAATATCTTGTTTTAGTACTAAAGGGAATTTAGAATACAAAGGTTCATTGCAGATAGATGTATCAAGTTTGCTTCTTGGTAGGACTAGCCGCCTAGAGTGGTCGAAATGAC